TGAAGGCTGGTCACTGAGAGGGACAGCTGTCCTGGATTACAGCTGCAGGGTGAGGTGGTGGGAGAGCTGGATGGACCCTGGAGCCCTAGGACTAGCTGAGGTACTGTGGAATGGGTCCTTTGGCATTGGCTGTCGTCTCTCAGATTTGTGCATCACAGGCCCAGGGCAGATTCTAGGATGATGTTGGACCCCCCAACTCATCCTACTCTGTTCTCAGTTGCAAATTCTTTCATAGCACACAAATATTCCTTAGCCCCTTTCTATCTCACAGTCCCCAGAAATGCTGGGCTGTGGCTGGATGAATGTCTTTTGTCTTTGTTTTGTTTTTCGAGACAGGGTTTCTCTTTGTAGCTCTGGCTGTCCTGGAACTCACAGATCTGCCTGCCTCTGCCTCCTGAGTGCTGGGATTAAAGGCGTGGGCCATCACCGCCTGGCTGTGAATGAGTGTTTGAAAGGGGTCCTAGGGTGGGAAGTAAGGACTGGAGTGTATTTGAGATGGAGGGCTCAAGTTGGGGTCCACACCCCAGGGGTAAGTAACTCCGATGTACCCAGGGGCCTGGCTCCTCTATCATAGCACCACTCAGCTCTGAGAATTGGGACAGATACAAGCGCCCGTTACTGAAAGGCCAGGTGTGCCAGGCCCCAAATGTGGTTTGTCATGGACAGGGACCTTGCACCCCATGGGTCTTCCCCTGGACAAGTCATCCAAGCATGGGGTGCAGAGACAGGAAGGCTGCCTTTGCTTGTGGCCTGAGATGCTCTTTGCTATGGGGTCTTCCCAGAATGGTGCACAGGGAGGTCTTAAAAGTGCTACATCTATTGACGTTTCTTTTTTTAAATTTTTATTTATTTTTATTTATGTGCATTGGTGTTTTGTCTGCATTTATGTCTGTGTGAAGGTGTCAGATCTCTTGGAACTGTCTACAGACAGTTGTGAGCTGCCTTGTGGATGCTGGGAATTGAACCTGGTTCCTCGGGCCGTTAATGTTCCTGAGCCAACAACTCTCCAGCCCTGGACATTTCTTATTTAAAAATTAATTTGGCTTATGTAAGAGAAAAAAAAAGTGTCCTTGTTTTCATGATTTTATTGCTTGTGGTAAAATTAATAAAAGTGAAGTGATGTCAAAGATACCACAAAGTCCAGCCAGAAGGCTCAGTGAGTAAAGGTGCTTACCACTAATCCTGGTGACCCGAGTTCGACTCCTGGAATGCACATATGGGAAGGAGAAAAGTGACTCAACTCGTGCAAGTTGTCTCTGGCTTCCACATGCACACTGTCATGCATGTGCAAGTACACACACACACACACACACACACACACACACACACAATTTAAGAAGTGTCATTAAAAGATGCACGAGTTGGGTAGATGCCTGTAATCCTAGTACTTAGGAGGCTGAAGCAGAAGGAATGAAGAAGTTGGAGCTCAGCCTGGGCTACATAACAAGATCTTGACACCACGGGAGAATCTGTGTGGTTAGTGAGTATAACACTGGTCAGAGCCCTATGGCCACAGTGTCTGTCATCTGAGTTTTGTGACCACAGAATGCACTGGCCTCATCCCTCAGTGTCTCTGCCTTTCCAGGCAGTTGGGTCTCCTATGGCGTTTTGTTTTGTTTTTGATGCACGGTCCACATTTTTGCCCTACTGTTGGGGTCACAGTGTACTCTAAGCCCACAAACCGCCTCTCAAGTTTTTCAGGCCAACCTGACAAACTTGGTCTTTTAGGATGGTCACATGACTTAGAGAAGTGGGAGAAAGCCTGGGTTCAGGTCCTTGTTCATTTCATTTGTCACAGGAAGACCTTGGGCCATGGCTGCCCCCATCACAGGTGCTCCACACCCCGCCCTCCCCAGCTGTCCTCCCCAACAGGGTCATGATGGAGGCAGGTCCGGGGAGACTGAAAGCCATCCTCGGTTGGGAAAGGAGAGTGTTTAGGAACGGGGACTGTTTGTTTCAGAGGCTAAACATTGGCTCGAATGCTGTTGTAATCGTTTCTTTGTTTTTTCCTTCCTCCTAAAGAATGGCTCCATGTAAGTCATGCACAGCACACTGAGACACCCTAAAAAAAAACACTTCTTCATTCTATGCCATAATCGCTTTCCTCACTCAGCATGTTGTGTTCATCCATAATGGTAAAGGCTAGTCATTCTCAGGTGTGTGTGTGTGTGTGTGTGTGTGTGTGTGTGTGTGTGTCTGCATAATATGTCTTCTGTGCCACCCTAATTATAGGGTAATTAACACTCCCTTGTCAGTTTACACAAAGATTTTGCTGTTGAAAAGGAAGATGTCCAAGGAGAGAAAACCAGTGCTTGAGTGTCACCTAGTGGTCATGAGTAAGACTGCTTGTCACTTGTGCTCAAATCCTGCCCCGGACCTTTCTGGGTTCTGCAGAAGAGTCTTAGAACCTGCATCGTCATTGGCAGCTCACATTCACAGCCTGCGCTCTGGTCCACATGGCAGTTACCTCTGTGTTTTGTGGTTGATGAAGAAGCTCCACCGTAAGAATCAGCCTTCTGGCCAGGCACAATGGCGTATGCCTTTAATCCCAGCCCTTGGGAGGGTGAAGCAGGAACTGACACTTGGTCTACGGTGTGTGTGAGTTCCAGGACAGCCAGACTTACATAACTAAACCTTGTCTCAGAAAAACAAAAACAAAACAAAGAATCAACCTTCTGTATGTCATCGTTAGGGAAATGGATGGAGTCAGAGATCATCATGTCGAGCAAAATCAGGCCAACCCAGCCAGGCAAATGCATACACACATGTAATATATAAAGTTTTAAAAGAATTCTTTAAAGTAAAAGAAATAGGTTTGGACCAGTGAGATGACTCAAAGAGTTTGCGCACCTGCTTCCAAGCCTGATGGTCTGAGTTCGGTCTCTAGGATCTGCATGGTGGAAGGGGGGACCCAATGCCTAAAAATTGTTCTTCGGTTGCACATGCTTCCTCTGGCATTGGTGTATTCATACATACAAAATAAATAAGTTAAAAAAAAACACCCCAAAGCAAAAGAACACCCTAAAAACAAAGAGCTGAAGGGGTGTCCTTCTGGAAATGTTTAGCAAGTTCAGCCACATAGTCACTTGTAGGACACTATTGCCATGGTCTGTGGGGATCCAGCTACCTCCAGCAGAACTTGCCATCATCCACTGTTTGTTGGCTTTACAAGTATACAAACTGGATGAGTTGTAGGGTCATGGGGCTTGCATCAAGGTTCTAGAACAGTGTGTTGAAGGGCCGGATTCTCTAATAGGTGTCCCAATGTAAACTACACATGAAGGGAGCCTAAGTTGCAGGAGAGGTCATTGAAGATACTGGGAAATGTGGGATGTCTCTGAAGAAAGCTGCAGGCACCCAGTTGAGCCAGTTTGTGGGAGAGGCCCATAGCTGCAAATGGCAGAACCATAGGGGCTGGAATGTCCAGGCTCTTGGAGCTCAGATGTCACCATAAGCCCTGGATATCAGATAAGGTGCTGTAGAACTTCATACTTGGTTGAGTTGCAGTCTTTTCTTTTTCAAGCTTTTTAATGTATATCTCTGTGTATATGTGAGTACACATTTACAGTTACCCATGGAGGCCAGAAGAGAAGCTGGGGCTTGGGGGCTGAGCTCAGGTTCTCTGTAAGAGTGGCAAGTGCTCTTAACTGTTGAGTCTTAATCTTTCCAGGGCCTGTGTTTCTTCTTGGTCCTCTCCTTTGCTTTCCTTTTGACATGGGAATGTTTACTCTGTTCTAGGATGAATGGCGAGTAGGTGGTTTTCTTTCTGATTTTGCAGGGTTCATAGCTCGGATTGCCTCAGAAGAAACTTTGCACTTTGACACTTCTGACTACATGTTTTTATTTGTCCTATAAGATGGACAGGAGCCGTTCTGGGTCAGGGATATACTTTGAATTCACAATGTTACCCACAGACTTGCATATGGAATGCTTGGTCCCCAGCTTGTGGTGGCTCTATTTTGAAGGTTGTAGAGCTTTTAAGAGTTGTGGCCTTGCTGCTAGAAACTAGAAATAAGACACTAGCGGCAAGTCCTTGAAGGTTATACCCACTCCTGGTTTTGGCTTGTGTTCTCCCTTTCCTGGCCCATGCCACGAGAACAGCCACCATCTCGTGTTCTTAGCATCAGGATGGGATCATTCTGCCATGCCTTCCCTGCCATGAGGGACTGAGACAACCAAGATAACCCTTCCTTAGGTTGTTTATATGTGGTATTTAGTCACGGTGATCCTAAGTTAATTAATACAATATCCAACCAAGAAGTGGTTGCCTGGTGGGCAGCTGTGAACATATTTCTCATTGTTTGGGAAACAAAGAATTACATTGAGCCTGGGTGTGGGGGGGGTGGCAGAGGCTTTCTTACGCTTGCTATGTGCCCATGTTTTTTTCTTTTTCTTCTTGCTTTTTGGTCCTTCCAGGCCAACAACCGGCTTCCCACTGAGCTGTAGCCAACTCCTACCCCCATTCTTTTAAAGCCCCGTCTCTTCCAAGATGAAGGGACTGGTATGGGCACAAGAAACCCCAACACCAAGTTCTGGGCACAAAGGAGATTTATTTGCCCCAGAGGGACAAACGGCAGGGGAAAAAAAGAGAAAGACAGGAGGACAAGGGAGACAGACTCGGCCCATAGGAAAATGGTGGGTTTATAAAGGGGAAAGGGGAAACCCTGTGTTAGGATGAGGTGTTTAATTTCAATTGGATAGGTTAATTAAGGCAGCCATAGGGGGTTTTTGATTGCTGGACTTCAATACTTTAACAGCTGGACCTTGGTAGTCAGCGGTAGGAAGAGGAAGTGGTCAGATAAGGGAAAGGACCTTGATGGCTGGCTTTAGGAATATGGTCTAATGGCTTTTAGAAAGGCAGAGGGAATGGGGAGGAGGGCGGGGCGTGCCAGAGCCATGTTTGTCACGCTCAGGCCGGCTAGAGTCCCTTCACAAGAACCTGCACTGTGACCTCTAAGGACACCCCTGAAAACAATCGTATGCTTCCATTTCTCCGGCAGGCAGACCTCAATACCAACATTGACGATGAAAGCAACGCCTTCTATGGGGTCTCCAGCCAGTACGAGAGCCTGGAGAACATGATCATTACCTGTTCTACCAAGGTCTGCTCCTTTGGCAAGCAAGTGGTGGAGAAAGTTGAGGTAGGAGGCCATCCAGTGGGTGTAGACAAAGGGCATGGTCTGTGTGCCCCCTTTCCCTGGAGCTCTCTTGGGGGCAGGATTGCTGAGGGGGGCCCCATGTGGCTTCCACATACCTTCAGGAAGTGTGTGTTTTAGGTTGGGTATGAGGCATCTAATAAATTACTGATTTAATTGTCTGTCCCACACCTCCGATCCCTGACTAATTTTTTGGTCAGGATTCCTTTCACACCTTCCTTGCAAGCATCCCGCAACTTCTAGAGCAGGGCCAAAGCAGGGGCTAGCCCAAGGGTTTCTCCCTAATCCATCTGTGTCTTTGACAGCTGGTCCTGGGGATAGGCATGGCCTTTCTCAGTTGCACAGCTCTCTAGATGCATAGGCCGTGAGAACGGATGTTCAGGATCTGTTCCCCTCTCACTTTTTACTCCACGAATGCTGCAAGCTTGTGGAGTCCCTGTTTCTCCAGGTGTTTGAGTTTTTCTAAGAGCCTGGTGTATGTTCGGCAAGTATTCTGCCATTGAGCTATACAGCCCTTTATCCCCACCTCACCCCTTTTGAGACAGTCTTTCGAGTCCCCTTGCCAGGCATCCCAGTATCACACAGCTTTTTGGTTTTTGGAGTGCCTTGGAGACCTTACACTTGGGCAGAGTTCTCTGCCTCACTCCCATTCACCCTGTCAAAGGCAGGCAGGCTGGTAATGAGCTCTCAAGCTAAGGACTTGGGTTTCATCCCTGTACACCTCCCCCGACCCCCACTTCCTCTTGGGGTTGTGTTAACACTCCTGACTGATCTCTAAGGAAGTATCAGGTTGCCTTCACCACCCATTGGTCCCAATGACTGTGACCTTCTGATCTTACTGTGTGATGAGAATGACAAAATGGCCTTAAATGTCACAGTGTCCGTGTGGTCCTAAAGACTGTGACACTGCGGTGCTTAACACTACATGCTGTCAGGCTGGTCACCTCTTGGCCTACGTGGGTCTGAATTGATGGTGTCCTCTCTACCTGAGGTTGACAGAAACTCATGTCCAACAGTTAGGTGCCAGGCAGCACCTGGGAATCTCGACCTTCGCTTCATGGGTCCCAACCCTAGCTGTTCCATTGCCAGGAAGCTTTTGATACACGTTAGCTCCACTGAGCCCCACTCATGTAACTTCTCTTAATCTTGGGAGTGTAATGTGTGTGTGTGGTCTTTTGTTCTATTTGGTGCTATAGATGGACTCCAGGGCTCAGAATTGCTGTCCTATCCCAGCAAAGGCAGTTTTTTACAAAGCTCCTACAGTTATTTACTTGCATTAAACTTATCAAGGTTTTGAGGTGCTCATGTGTCTATCCAGCCATCATCCTATGTGCTGTCTATCCAGCTCCTTGGTAGCATCCACTACCAAGCTTCACGCGTAAGGCAGTTCCACCACACGGATGCGGGTTCCCTCCCTCAGCTCAGCCTCACTTGCCACACCTGCCCCATCTCATGGCCGCTCCTTCCGGGTCTTTACATGTCCTTCTCCTGGAAGTGACCGAGCGGAAAGGTCTGCTTTCATGTCTAGAAACCTCAGAGGATAGCGCTGGTCCTGGATCATCTTCTGCCTCTGTGTCCCATTGGCTGTGTTGGATTTTTGTACATCCCTGCTAAATTGGGCTTGGGCAAGAGGTGAAGGGATGCTAAGCCTCTGCTGTCCCTGGGGTTCTACAGACAGAGTATGCGCGCTATGAGAACGGTCGCTACCTGTACCGTATCCACCGGTCCCCGCTCTGTGAGTACATGGTCAACTTCATCCACAAGCTGAAGCACTTACCGGAGAAATACATGATGAACAGTGTGCTGGAGAACTTCACCATCCTGCAGGTGTGACCGGGGGCCGCATGCCCAGGGGGTCTGTGCGGAGGTGGTGGGTGGCACCCTTGGCTTCCCAGTCCAGGGCTCTGACCGTCACCTCTGTCTCACTTGCAGGTGGTCACCAATCGAGACACACAGGAGACCTTGCTGTGCATTGCCTACGTCTTCGAAGTGTCAGCCAGCGAACATGGGGCTCAGCACCACATCTACCGGCTTGTGAAAGAATGAGAGACTTGGAGAACGATGGTGGGGGGACAGATCCAGGAAATGGGGACCTGGGAGGGAACCTTCAGGGCCAGCCCCCCAGAAGTGCCAAGAGAGCCGAGCAGAGAAGCAAACTGCCTGATCTTGCAGTGCCCAACCCCCCAATAAACCCAAGGTGCCGAGTATTTTCAGAGGAGCTGGTCTGGCTGTATGAGCCCAGGAGGGCAGGGGAGAAGGGGGCACCAGGAGGTACCAGGAAGCAAGCTGGAAGCAAGCCCAGAGATGCTCTCAGATGGTCCAGGAGCCAGAACCCCAGTGGACTCAGCCAGCTGTTTATCTCCAGACGCTAAAGCTCAAGACCCAGTGGTCCCTTCTCAGCTGCTGGAACCCTACACTCTGCTGCTGGTCACACTAGTGGCCTGAGGACAGATGGCATGCAGGTCACACACCCAGAGATGCTGTGCGTGACCCGTGTACACTGTCAGCCCTGCCGTGATGATGGCTACCGCAGAAGGCCCCACCCCTGCAAACAGGGCTAGATTTAGGTGTGGCTTCAACAAAGTTGTTGGCTGGAGACTGAGTTACTCAGGTGGCCCTGCAGTGGCCCTGCAGGGGGCTATGACTCCAGATTGAGGCAAGGCTTCGAAGTAGGGAGTCCTGATTCAAGTCCTTGGCTTCTCTGTTCGTCCACTTTTCTCTCCGCTCAGCACTGGTGAGGAGAGGATGTCTATGAAGTGCCTAGGCCATGCCGGGTGGTGGTGGCGCACACCTCTAATCCCAGCACTTGGGAGGCAGAGGCAGGCGAATCTCTGTGAGGTCAAGGACAGCCAGGGCTACACAGAGAAACCTTGTCTCAAAAAACAAAACAATAGTGACTGGGTACCATGCCAGTTCAATGATCTCTCCCTCAGCCCCAGCCCCTTGCTTCCCTCCCTCTGGAGGGCCTGGGTCTGGCTCTCTGCTGCTTTCTCAAGGCTTCCCCAGTTGGAGCCAGTTTCTAGTAACCTGGAGCCTCAGGAAGAAAGATCCAACCTGGGCATGTTTGTGTGTGTGCCCAGAACTCAGGGATGTATCTGTGGGGGTGCAGAAATGGGCAGGGTAGCATTGAGGGGATGTTACAGAGGTGAGGGACGAAGGGCTCTGGAAATCAGTCTAGCCTGACTTTGATGTGCAACCTCTGGGGTGTTAACGTTATGGTGCCTCAGTTTCCCATCTGCAAAATGGGTATAGCATCCACCTACCTCGTGTCTATACAGTGCCTCATGTAGCAATGAGCACATCCACATGTTCAATAAATATGCATCGGTACTCACCGTGGGAGCTTCAGTTCCCGCTGAGGAGCCCAGATTGAAGCCCACTGTGGTGGGGTGATCCTACAGCAGCTGGCCTTCAGATAGGAGCGATCCAGGGGTCTCAGGGAAGAGGTAGCCCTCCAAGGGACAAGTTCTGAGAGGAGGATGGCTAATGTTTAGTGATGTTATTTGTGTGGAGTTTTGGTGCTGGGGCCGACCCCAGGGCTTGGCACAGGCCGAGTGACCAGGCCAGAAGTGTGCAAATAAGCTCATGGGAGGAGTCTGGCTGCATCTCAGCTGAGGAAGACAGACAAGCCATCCAGTCTTTCTGTAGGTCCCAAGTGCCCTCTCCTCAACCCAAAGCAATTTAGCGCACACCTCCCCCACCGGGCTAGGCTGGTGGCTGGACCCAGACCTGCTTCCTACTGCACTGTGTAGAGGTCCTGCTGTCAAAGAGGGTCAAGGCCCTCTCCCCCTGTGATTGCTGCCTGGCAGCAGTGTTCTTGGGAAGCCCCAGCCTCAGCCATTTCAGACTTTTATGTGGGCAGCCTCTTGAGACAGGAAGGACACAACCTTTTCCTGTAGGAAGCAGGTCAGTCCAGATGTTGGGTCACAGTGTGGATTCTTAGTTTCTCCTGTGTGAACTGACCTCAGTGACCTAAGGGAGAGCCACCATAGAAGATGGCAGTCTTAGTTGCTACTCCGTTCAAGTCAATATGGCACCCCCGCTCCCCCCTTTCCCAGCAGTCTCACTGATGGTACTGTGCTGGCGCCATTTTTTCTTTTTTTAGATGAGCTCGCCCTCTCTGGCCTAGGCTAATATTTCCAGTGATCCTCCTGCCTCAGCTTCCTGAGGAGCTGGGTCTATGGGTGCTTACCACTGTATCCAGCAGTCCTATTTTAAAGATTAAGAAAGTGAGGCCCCGAGAGCTTGAGGAAGTTGCTTGGGTTGTTGGTGTATTTTTTTCATTTGCCGAAAGTGAGGCCCCGAGAGCTTGAGGAAGTTGCTTGGGTTGTTGGTGTATTTTTTTCATTTGCCGTGTGAGTAGTTGTTTGATTTCGGAGATGTGTCAGGCTCTGGGAATGTGTCCATGAGCAAAGCAGCCAGGGCGGCTACTTTGGACTAAGGAAGGGGTGACTGGAGGCTTAAAGTTGAGGAGACTTGCAGGCGGTGGGAAATGCTGTGGAGGGGGAGGGCACCAAGGTTAGCTTCATAGGGAGGCTGCCAAGGCCCACAATCTGCACTGACTCTTGAACCACAGACAAGTGGATCCGAAGGAACATTCCAAGAGAGAATTGAGAGTCCTGGAGGCGGGGAGGGGATGGGCGTGCCCCAGGGCTATGCCGAGTGACAGAAGGTAGGCATACCCCCACCCAGCCAGCATGCCAGGTAGGAAGGCGGGTGGTTCAGTCTTTTGTGTCCCCTACACTCCCTGTGTGGATGCCGACTTTGGAGTTCTCTTAGGGTGGTAGCAAGGCCTGGAGCTGTGAAGCAAGGGAGTGCGTTCCTTTGATAGTATTTCAGAGAGGGCCACCCATGTCACGACCCCGGGAGTGAAAGCCCTCCTGGTGTTACCTAGTTAGCAGGAAATGTCAGAAGTGGCAGTAGGGACAGGTGAAAGGTTTTCTGCCTCACAGGGTCTGATAACTAACAGAGTGGATTGTCCCAACAAGGTGTCACAGGAATGGAAAGAATGTGTCCTGACCAGAAAAACAAGCAAAAGCACAAACAAAACAAAACCAATAGCTAAAAATAAATAAAACATTAAAAACCCACCACCCCACACACATAAAAGGAACTAGTGTGTACAAGTGGTGTCCTAGACCGCCCGCCAAAGGGGCCCCGAGGTGTGGTCTTACATCTCTGGTCTGTGCTGCACCCAGGCTGGGGGTTGAGTGCAGAAGGCCTGAGGGTAGGCTGTGCCAGGAGGGAGCTTCCTGAGACCCGGGCCACCCAGGCACAGAAGCGACAACAACACAGAAGAGTGTGAGCTTCCCTCAGGGGTTCTATCCAGTGGCTACCAGCACGTGACCCCTGCTGAAAACCTGCTTTCTTTCTTAGAGCTGTGGTACAGGGGGCAGTGGCACCTTGGATAACTTTTCTTAGAGATCATAAAGAAAATGACCTTTTCCTCAAAGACTTGACTCTGTCTAGGATGTAGCTAACTACTGTGTCCAGCCAGGTGCTGGGGTCACACTTTATCTTTCCTCCCCCAACACTCACTCAGGAGGAGAGTAAGGCCAGCAGGAGCTATACAGTGAAACCTGATCTCTGAAATAAAAATTCTTTAAAAAGTTCTTGGACCTCTGCTTTTGTATATATATATTTGTGAGTAAGGGCACAGATGGGCATGGCCCTTCCTAGCGAGCCAGAGCCTAGGCAGTGGAAATGATGGTTTTTTTTGTTTTTTTTTTTTTTTTTTTTTTACACTCACAGATGTCTGATATTCAATTTTAAGGCTTTTGTATTTTTTTTTCTATGTAAACCCCCTTCATCTCTTCAGATCTTCAGTAAAGTCTGCTACAAACACAGGTCTGCGTGCATGTGATTTCTTCGTGTAGGACTGGAGATCTGCGCCTGTTCCCAAAGCGCACAAACCAGCGGTGTGCATAGGGCATTGGCACACTGGGACTGGCCTGTGCTGAACCAACCGGTGGGAGCAGGAACTGAACTCAGCTGAGGAGTTAGAATGCTCTTGAATGGGGCATGGTAAGAGCCTGCCCACCATCCCACAACACTACTGAGCACCGAATTCCCGTCAAGTACTGTTCTGTGCTAAACTGAACTAGTTTGGGGTTCAGAGACGGCTGCTGCTGAAGCCCCACTTGTACCTGCTGCACTCTCTCCCTTTGCTCCCTGTCCTGAGCAGGGAGGCAGGAGGCCTTGCCTAGAGGACAGCGCCTGCCTTTCAGGGGGCCCCATCCTCCCTGGGCCAGACTCAGGAAGGACACCCCGATTCTCACTGGAGTCAGGAGTTGAGTCAGTACAGAGAGGAGAGTTGGTGCTGATAAGAGAAGCTGTGGCCAGCCCTGAGCTGAGACAAGGTGCATTGACAGAGGAGGAGGAGAAGCAGGAGTGTGGTTTGCTCTCAGTAGTAAAGGAAATGTTTTGGGATCAGGGGAGGGCAGCTGCTACTCACAGGGAGATGAGATGAGAAGTGGCCACTTAAGGCAGAGGCCCCCGCCTCCTTTTCAAATAACAGGACTAGACCCCTCTGTTTTTATCGAGACATGGGGTTCACTCAGAATAAAACTGTTATCTCCTGGCTTGCATTGCAGTCTGATGAGGTCATGTGACAGTCTGACCAGTGAAAGTAAGCAGAAATCAAATTTCCAGGGATGACCTAAAAGGGGGGGGGGGTATGCTCTTTGTTCTGAGGAATTGTTGGTAAATTGATGTAGATTCTAAGTAGCTACATTGGTCTCTGAGACCTTAGACTGATGACTACTTAAGATACAGCAAAAAAAAAAAAAAAAAGTTATACATTGTTCTTATAGATTTCATGTGAGGGATGGATTTTTACCTTTGTCACTTCCATTATGCAGAGTTTTTGGATCTAGCAGTCAAACTTAATTCTAACACATAGCAGTATTCAGTCTGGTAGCAAATTCGGAGGCAACACAGTTAAGGCCATGATTAATAATACCTACCCACACCTTTGGAGACAAAACCTGCCATCCGGCCTCAGCCTTCCAAACGCTTCCATCACAGGCGTGTGCCACCCCGCTCAGCTCTTCCTTGTGCTTTTCAGTTTACAGAACGCTTCTGAAACATTGTCTTGCTTGATGTGGACCGCTGCACTGTGCTCCTGCGGCACCCTTTTCATGGATGAAGAGGCTCGGGAAATCAGTGACTAACCTCAGCTAGTTTGAATGTGAAGTGTCCCTACAGGCCTATGTGTTTGAAGGCTTGGTCCCCAGCTGGTGGCGCTGTTCTGGAAGGTTCCTGAACAGTAGTGTCCCTAAAGTCAGGGCCTGAAAGTTCCAGGTCAGCACACTTCCCGCCCAAGCTATGTCCTGATCTGCCTAGAGGGTGACCAAGCTATGTCACCAGCTCTACTGTTCCTGGTGTGAGCAGTTCTTGTTACCGCATGTCTTACAACAGACTGCATCCCCTCAGAACCAAACCTTGCTTCTTCTCTTTGGTGTCTTGGCATAGTGACCAGAAAAGTTACACACCTGGTAAGCACGCTGCAGATCTTTCCACTTCTGCCGGGTTTGGCTCCTTACCCAGCTGTCATGAATTCAGATGGGCTGATCATGGGTGGTCAGGGCTTGCCTGAAGCGGGGAGGGTGGGAAGCCCAGAGAGGATACAATGTAGAGAGGCAGGGTAGTTCAGTAGTGGAGCACTTGCCTAGTTTGTGGCCCTGGCTTGTATCCAGGGAAACAAAACCAAAAATTATGCAAGATGAAGAAAGCCTTTCTTTTACGACCGTGCGAGCTCACATGGGGGCGGGTAGGGGTGGGGTGGGGCGCACACACTGGGGGGTGGGGGCTGGTGTAGCAACCATCTTGTGGCTAAAGTAAGTCTACTGTTGTAGGGAGGCTGTGGAGAGTAAGGGAGCGGATGACCAGCTCCATTGGAGGGAAATGTGTTTACCAGCTGGCCGGCTTGCAAGTCCATCCTACAAGTGGTCGGGAATCATCAGATGCCCAACCTGAGTCTGCTGAGTGTCTTGTGACCTTGCGCTTTTTTTTTTTTTTTTTTTTTTTTTTTGAAGGATTAGTTTTTTTCAGTCCTTCCAACCCAAGGCCGAGCTGGGAATTAGAAATGTGTCACCATAATCTCACTCTGTCTTTCTGCTTCAGTAACATTGTTTTGAGATGGGATCTCATAGCTCAGGTTGGCTTCAAACTCACTGTTTAAGATGACCCTTAACTTAACTCTAGACCCTTTCAAAGATTGGGGTTATAGAAATGTGTCCACACCTTTGCCTTAAGTGATGTCTTGCTAACTTGTGTTCTTTCTTGAAATCCTGACAACAATGCTGACACCCACGTCTGCCACTGACATGGAGGTTTGTGTATGCCAGCTCTTAGGTGAGGGTGGGCATGGACCAGGTGTCCTGGCTTCGAGCTGCTCACCCAGATTCTCACGGCCCTTTCAGCCGGTCACGTGCCTCCTACTCCCACACACTGTCTTTCCAGGTTCTGCTCTGAGAATCAAGGAGCCCCAGAGAATCCCATCCTGCCTAGCCCTCTATGGCCCCTGTAACCTTGATTCGCCCACCCCAAGCTGTGCTATTGGCACATTAAAGCAAGCCTCAAATGCCTGTTCCTGGTTGGCCTGGGCCCCTCCCAGCTGTGATCTGCTCACTTACTCTTTCTCTTCATCTCTCTGGACTGGTTATTCCTGGCTGTGCTCCCTGGCTTTGATATTCGCTTCTGTGCTCTCTGGTTTGGCAACTCACCACATTCCCCTTGTGGCTTTTGGGGCCTCTGGATTTTGTTGGTGAGCCTTCTGCTGTGTCCCCTCCTCTGGTTTTATAAACCAGCTTGGCCTTTCATGAGGAACATTCCCTCTGGTTTGGACTGTGCAGAATCCTATGGCTAAGCCAGGATTGGAAGGGGCCTTGCAGTGGCCCGGAGTACACTACTTCTGCCCTTGGCCCTGGGTGCCCCTTGAGGGATACATACATACATGGTGCATCCCATAGCTCTTTCTGATTGTGCCAAAGTGTCTGGCTTGCTCCAGCTGCTAAGGATGTGGCTTCGAAAGAAACTAAAGCCCCTGTTCTCAAAGAGCATTCAGTGGAAGTCACACAGTAGGAGAAATGATAGGTCTATCCTATGGACTCTTCTCAAAAAACGGTTGCCATCATATACATCCCCTAACTAGTTTTGTGGTCTGTTCTCTATTAGATGACAGGGACACAGACTATCAGCAGAAGTGAGACAGGAATGACAACAGTCCTAAGATCTCTTCAGATTTAGATGAAGGCCCAGCTGTAACACGAGTAATAGATGAAGGCCCAATTGTAACGAGAAGAATAAAAACCCAGAGACAGATATCAAGCTTCAAGCTGAAGATCAGAGAAGCAAAGCAGCCGGTCACTAGCTCTCACCTCTATCTCAGGCTGTCCTGTCCTCAGCATGGTTGGACAATAAATCTTAACATGAGGTCATTTTGCCTTTTGCTTTTATACCTCCCTAGTGCTGGGATTAAGGTGTGTGATCCCAAGTGCTGAGATCATCATTGTGTGAGCTGTTTCTCTTTAGAACTGGATCAATTTCATGTAGCTCAGTGTGGCCTTGAACTAACAGAGATCCATCTGCTTCTCTCTTGAGTTCTGGGATTAAAGCGAGCCAGCCATTGCCTGGCTCTATGACTTGTTAGCATGGCTGCTGGGATTAAAGGTGCATATCACCATTGCCAGGCTCTATGGCTTGTGGCTGTCTTTGCTTTCTGTACCCTTAGGCCAGCTTTAATAAATCATAAATAATATATCACCACATTTCCCCATTTTTGTCTAATACAAAAGTAAGAAGGATACAAACTAACATAAGAAAAACTACATGGTAACAGGAAAGGACTGAGCTGGACTTGGTATAGGGGCCTTCTAGAGACCCATCAGGGAGTTTCCTGGTGACAAATCATTGCCTTGATAATCCCCTTTTGACCTACAGTCTTTAGTCTAATGCCTGCCTTTGCCATACCTTCTGCATAACACAGAAGGGAGGGGTGGTTCTTTTTGGCTTATGTTTATAAAAAGCATTGTTTCTAGGAATGCCCTGTTTACAATCCCTTTTCAGGTGACCTTGTCTGCCACAATTAAAATATTTGACATTTTGGTTTTTCTTCAAACCTCTTGAAATCACCTCTCCTATCTATGCATCATCAATGATTTAATAAAGAGCTGAATGACCAATAACTAGGCAGGAGAAACAGGTGGGACTTCTGGGAAGAGAGAGGAAGGGGAGGAGAGAGGGTAGGTGGGGCTGCCAAGGAGAGAGAACAAATAGAAGGAGAAATCTTGGAGGAGACAAGGAAAAGGAGCAAGAGAGAACAAGGAGGGGAGGGTGGCAGGAGCAGCCACCCTGCCACCCAGCCAGCCTCGGAGTAAGAGTGAAAGTAAGAGATACAGAAGTAAGAAAAGGAAAAAGCCCAGAGGCTAAAGGTAGTTGGGATAATTTAAGAAAAGCTGGCAAGAAACCAGCCAAGAAAAGGATGGGCATTAATAAGTAATAATAGGTTTCTTAGTGTGTGATTTATTTGGGAGCTGGTTGCCCCACCAAAAGAGCCAAAAAAAGAAAAAAGTAAAAAGCAACCAACTACACTTTTCCTTGTTACAAATTCAGAAAAGAAATGTGCATAAGAGATGTAAAGTTTATAAGATTGAGAAACATAGAAGCTTAAGTTGTTTATCAAAAAATGTTTTAAGGTCTAAAAAGATATTTTTAGGATGGTAATACAAGTTATGATAGAAAATGGGTTAGGTATAAAACTTTGGGCTTACAAAGATAAGATAGATAATACAGTATTTTCTCCAAATTTGCCAAATACAAATGGACTGAAAATTGTGAATATAATTCTTTTTGTTTGTTTGGTTTTTTTTTTTCCTGGAACTCATTTTGTAGACCAGGCTAGCCTTCAACGTGAATGTAATTCTTATCTGATAGTTGTTTTCATTGTATACAGTTTTAATATGTGAGAGTTAACATTTTTCCTTTTTATTCAGATAAAAAGGGGGAAATGTTGTGGGCTATTTGCATACTGTGTGAAGATGCATTGCTGTGATTGGGGAATAAAGATCTGAATGGCCCTTAGCTAGGCAGGAGAGGATAGGCATAATTTCTGGAAGTGATAGGATAAAGGAAGCTGAAGAAGTCAGACTTATGGGACAAAGGAAAGGTAACTGAGCCACGTGATAGAATGTAGATTAATAGAAACAGGTTAATTAAGTTATAAGAGCTAGTTAGAAAAAAGTCTAAGGTAAGGCCAAGCTTTCACAATTAATAAAAGTCTCTGTGTTGAGAGCTGGTGGTCCCAATGAGAAAGCTTACTACACCCAATTGCACCAGGACAAGGCTCATCTGGGGTCCACTGACAGGGTACATTCAATGTAGGAGCAACTTCCTCATGGCTTACACAAGCTAAAAACACCTGTTTTTACAAGCCTAGCACAGTAAATTTATTCTCTAAACATAATGTCCACCATAACAAAGGCAACACAGTCATTAGGTTATACAGAAATGTAAAGATCAATGTGGGCATTTGAACTTTTTTTTTCTCTATTTGCAAACAAATTCCTCTGAAGTGTAATCAGAAAAAAAAGAGATAGAAGCCAGGTAAGAATAAAACGACACCTGGGAAAATAACAATCATAAGAAATTCAAACCCTTCACAGAAAAAAAAGTCCCTGTTTTCCTCACAGCAAAACAGTTATATACTTACACAGTTTGTTAAGCGGTTTATTTTCAGTGGTAAACAAACAATATGTCTCACACTTTTGTAAAAAACTCTCTGTACTTTTAGAAATAGAAGAGCTGCTCAAGGGGTCAGAGATAAGCAGTAGTTAAAGAGCTGGTTGTGTAGTCATGGCGACTGGCATTCAGATCCCTGCACCCACTGGAAATCCCCACATCTGTTACTCCAGCACCAATTTAATTCTTCCTACTGTTTCCTAGGGATGGTTCAGGTCTTGTGTTATTGCTAGGACTGCAAGGTAGTGATGTATCTTTTTCTCAATGAATCCTATTGACAATGCTGAGGTTTTATTGACTCTCTTAAAGCAATTTACTAATGGTTGGTGAGCTGGTACCTGTTGTGCAACAGTTTCCTCTGAGATTGAAACATTCCACCCTGAAGCTCCTTAAGCTAAAGGCAGACAACCCAAAAGAGCTCAAAAAGTCCCTGAAACTGACCAGATTCACTAGGCCCCTCCAGCAAGAGTAAGCAGTAAAAGCTGAGGGTCCCTCTCAGATGGAAGGAAGCTGGGCAGCAAGGAAGACTCTCAGAAGAGCAACCCTGGACCAGCTACCTGGAAGAAGCAGAAACCAGCCAGCTCCTTGGAATAGGTTTAGACCAATGTAAGGGCATTCTCCAGCCTATTGAGGTGCCTGTAGGTTGTGCAATGTCTCTAAGTTCCCAGATTTTGTGAGCTGTCACCCATGCTGAAGGTGGGTACCTGACTTTGTTTGAGTCATTTCTGCTCCTGTAAGTAACCCCAATAAAACCCATTGGTTCACCAAGTTGGACTTTGGTGATGTCTGTACTTTGGGTCTGTCCTGGGTTCCCCATCTGGGGAGAGCAGACAGTGTGTTTTTTATTTTTTCATGAAAAGTTTTGTCACACAACAGTACCTATCTGGTTTTATAACCGTAAAATTCTACTTATTCTTGGTAATAAGTAAGCATATTGTGAGAAGCATCTTGAAGGGTAATTATATACATTTTTTAAGATTTTATTTATTTATTATGTATACAACATTCTGCTTCCGTGTACATCTGCACACCAGAAGAGGGCACCAGATCTTATAACGGAGGGTTGTGAGCCACCATGTGGTTGCTGGGAATTGAACTCGAGACCTCTGGAAGAGCAGTCGGTGCTCTTAACCTCTGAGCCATCTCTCCAGCCCTATATTTTGTTTTTTATTTGACCATGATGGACAACTTCCTGAAAGACAAATGTACTAATCAGGATGAGGCAGGTTATGCTGAGACAATTAAGGTAACCCTGTGCTCTGGAGAAGGGAACTGAGATGTGTGTGATTAGTTCACAGTCCTCCAACCGTCTTCCAACTCCTGGACCCACTTGGGGTTGAGCCGAGCCGCCACCCTCCAAAGAACGTTGACTTACGTTCTTTCAGGTCACATCACAACCAGCTCTGGAACCTTGAAGACTGTGGCTAGGGCAACCTCGGACTCAGGCATCTCTTGTGAGGCTTGCCTCTGCTGTGTTGGTTGAGTGGTTAAGGCCTGGTGTCTTAACGGTGACTAGGACGATCCGTCCGATTTCGAAATTCTGTGTTTTTAGCTGGTTACTGTGCCCTGGCGAGACCCTTTTAAGGAAGTGGTCCTAGAACTCCACGGGGTTTCCCACAGTGGACCTTGGTGAACTGCCAACATTTGTTTATCCACCAATCGGTTCCCGACGTTGCCAGCTCAATTGACTTCATCTCTGACTTACCCTGACATCCAAAGTCAACTCTGTTTATACAAAGAAAAGCTATTCTGAGCTCTTCTTCCCGTGGCCTGATAGGTTTCCGATCTTGAACCAACTTGCGGCTTATACATTTACTGAAATAAGTGATTCTCCGGGCGTCAGAGTACCGCACCCAGCAAAGACAATCCGGGCAGTGATTCCATGTGGAAACCTAAACAGTGTGGGATGGAGATGAAGCCTGAAGCTTCTGGACAGGGTCGAAAAAGGAAAAAGCAGGATGAAGTTTGGAGAGAGATGGTGCCTGAAGCTTTGGGACAAGGTGTAAAACCGAAATACCAAGATGAAGGTGGAACGGATCTGGAGTTCGAACAGCCCAGAAAGGCTCGGAAGAGGGTATCTCAGGAACAGCGAGATCTAGAGCTTCTGAGTGAACAACTGAGCAAGGATCAGATACAGAAACGTGGGGAAGAGAATCCAGGACAACTAAAGCCCCCAGAGCGGGGCAAAGGTCCACAGGAGCAGGCTGCAACTGGGAGAAAGTCTGCTGTTGGTGGCAAGGGTCGCAAGCGGCCCTATTGTGTCATGGAAGAATACGACCAACCCCACCAAAGGGAAAAATACCAAAAGTTACTGCAGGACCTTCAACAAAGTGATCATGTGAACTCTGACCCACACAGGGCTCAGACAACCCTTATGGATACCTTGAAGATCAAAGGTTGTGTGGAAGGGCACAGTCGTGGATCCAGAACAACTCAGCGTGATCCCAAACGATCTACTGTTGTTGCTGCAACAGAATGTCTCTCACCAGACAAAAGAGAAAAGCTGTGTTCTGAGAAATCTTCTGATACACAGAAGAAAGATGGAGTGAACCTTGAAGGAAGAAGGGAACACCACGGGGAGCCTGACTTATTAGGAGCACAGGCTCAAATTTTCCTGCACAAGATGCCAGTATTTACAGCAAAGAAAAAGCCTGCTGCAGAGCAACAAAAGGGCAGAGGAATGGAGGAAGTCCTTGATGTTACAGAGGACATGGAAAAGGAAATTAAGAACGCACTGGGTCCAGGGCCCCAAGAGGAAATCTTGAGTAGAGCATTCAAATTGCAAATTACTCGAGGCGATATCCAGACACTAGAGAATGGTCAATGGCTCAATGATGAGATTATCAATTTTTATATGAATCTCCTGGTTGAGAGAAATGAAAATCAAGGCTACCCAGCTCTTCACGTGTTTAGCACTTTTTTCTACCCCAAACTAAAGCATGGCGGCTACAGTTCTGTTAAAAGATGGACTCGAGGAATGGATCTTTTTGAAAAAGAAATTGTTCTAGTGCCTATTCACCGGAAGGTCCATTGGAGTCTGATTGTAATCGACCTAAGAAAACAGAGTATTGTATACCTCGATTCAATGGGACAGACAGGGCAGAATATTTGTGAGACCATCTTCCAGTATTTACAAAATGAGAGCAAAACTCGAAGGAGCATAGAGCTGGACCCTTTGGAGTGGAAGCAATACAGTGTGACATCAGAAGAGATCCCACGGCAGCTGAATGGGAGCGACTGCGGAATGTTTACTTGTAAATATGCAGATTACATTTCTAGAGACCAGCCTGTAACCTTTTCTCAGCAGCACATGCCCATCTTTAGGAAGAGGATGGTGTGGGAAATTCTGCATAGTCACTTACTGTAACAACATCCACCTGGTTGCTTGGCACCCCTGCACTTTTCCATCAGTGTTTCTATATACCTCAAGCAAGATGGTTGAGAATGGTTAAAACAGATACTAGCTGTCTGCCATGGATAAAGCTCACTCTCTTCAGTGTAGTCCTAACTTGGGGAGTCCCGCCCAGTGCCGTCTGCGGGATGCATGTAACTACTACAAGCTACACGAGAACACATCTTCAAAAAATATCGTTTTAATGCTGGATTTAGTTTATGAATCTCGTTATGAACCCTTCTTGCCCCACCTCCATGATTCTTTGTTTTCATTAACTTGTTTGCAAACCGTGGCAGTTGCCATTTCCCAGTATTCTGTCATTACCAATTCTATTCCTTGTTTGAACTGTTTATTCCTGAAAGGTAGACCAATGACAATGTCATTCCCTGCAGAAGATCAGGAGGGACATCAGCAGGAAGAGGAAGTGATGAGCATCTCTAATGCTGGAGCTGGAGCTGTGAAATTGAAGCCGGGGTGTGTGTGAGTGTGTGTGTGTGTGTGTGTGTGTGTGTGTGTGTGTGTGTGTGTGTGTGTGTGTGTGTGTGTGTGTGTGTGTGTGTGTGTGTGAGTGTGTGTGTTATGTATTTCTTAAAGCTTGAAAATAGCACAAGAAAGGAAAGTGAGTTACATGGACTGATGTTTTTATGACCCATCTTACTCTACGGGACTTGTATAGAAGGTTGAACTGTGGCCAAGCTACTGATTGCCTGTCCAGGACTGTTAAGAAAACCGTCGTGGTTATTTAAAGACACATTCTTTCCCTGAATTCAGGAGGCTTTTCTTTGTTTTGGAAGTTGATTAACTGTAATGGTAAATATCCATTTTTATCCCAGGTCTCATTTTTATCCCAGCCCTGAGCTTTGCTAGGGCTATGTTGAATTATTTGAAAAAAAGTTTTATTCAATTTAAAGTTATGTTTTTTTTTTACTTTGTTCATTAGATTAATATTGCTATATCCATTCCCACTGTGGAAGTGGGGATTTCATATTTACAGTTGATATTGCTGATTATACAATTTACATGTGATAAACTTGTATTTACCTTTTCTGTTCATTATCTTACTGTTGTGTTTATGCAATTTTTATTTAATAAAGTTTAAAGTTGTTCAGAACATATTTTGCAAGATCTTGTGTCCCCTGTTCCTTTTATGGTGTAGTAATGAAACCTGACTGTGTGAAGAAACCTGGGAAGCAGGTGCCCAGGGAATGACCTACCAGCTTAAATCATCTATACACTGTGCACATCAGTGACTGCTACTCTGTTCTGGGCCTCTGCAATGAAGTTAGAATATACCACAGAAGATCTGCTTCCTTATCTTGGGTTGTAGAGGGAGCTTGGTTGATCAGAGTCCAGCTTGAGCCCTGTAGAGTTGCAGCAATGGGCAAACTTAATGTAATATACATAGAGGCTTTTATCATTGAAGCCACTCTTCATTATTGCAAATGGAAACTCAGGTCCACCGCTCACCTCTCTACCAAAAACTAAGAGACTGACATTGGTAAAAAGAAAATGGTGTCTTTATAGTTTTTCCCAGATTTATGGAGAGAATATTTCTCAGTTCTCTCCAGATCTACATCTACACATCTCCCCTTTTCTATGCAGCAGCTTGATGATGTATAGAAAAGACAGCACAGAGTTTGGGAAATGGCTCAGTTGGCAAAGTACTTACCATATAAGCTTGAGGCTTTGCGTTTACACCAAGGGCCCAATTAGGATAAACCATGATGGGTGACCATGAGACACCAAAGCCCCGATCCTTTGTAGCAGAGTGGATTTCATCTTCTCTCTTCCTCCCAGTGTGCCTCCCTCCTTGGGAGTGTATCTTTTCCTAATCAACTGCCCTTGCTTCTTCTGCAAGTGTATGTCTCTCATCAGTTCCTCGAGGACAGAGGATCCTGGAAACCCTTTAGAAGATCTTTCTGAACCTTGGTAACATCCAGTACCAGCAGTGTCTCTTTTCAAGTGCTTAATGTGTCTGTTTTCCAAGAAAACATTTCACGATCTGGAGAGATGGCAGAAAAACTAAAGCTCAGGGGTAGATGGGAGAGCTTACCCACTTACCATGTGTAAAACCACGTGTTCAATCCTCAGTACCTCATCAAAAAAGAAGAAAAATAAAAGTTTGAAAGGGTAACATATACATATTTAAAGGAAGCTTTTTCAATGCCTTACAGGTACTTAAAACTACAAACTAAAATAATTAAGTCTAACACAAGGAAAAATGCAACATACGTGTCAACAAACAGACCATCTAATAATATATAAGCACTTGATAACAAAAAAGGGAAGGAAGGCTACAAATAAAAAGAGGACCGAATGCCAGGCAGTGGTGGCTCGCACCTTTAATCTCAGCACTTGAGAGGCAGAGACAGGTGTACCTCTGTGAGTTCAATATGACTGGCTACGGTAAAATATTTAGAAACCAGCCGGTTATTAAGAAAAATGTCAGTATAAATGTGTGTATACACCAAACACAGCATGCATTGCAGAGAGATTTGAGCTAAGTTTGAAACTAAAATTAATGAGGAAATTAAAAAGAGAAAGGCACATTTCATGATACTCAGAGAAGAGCTTCTGATGCAGAAAAATATACCAGAAATTACAAAAAAATGAGAATGATACATTTGGTGCTATTTAGGAATTGAAAATTGATGTATATCAAAAGACAAGCACTAAAGACTAAACAATATCGAAATTTATAGCAATTGTGATAAAAATCTCTATCATCAGATAGTGAGGACATAGAGCCCATATAAGTCAATGAAATGCTAAGACCTTCCCCTCCCCAAGCAAATAAAGGTGCACAACTCACAAGTAATATACAAATGCTCAATGAGCGTGGGAAAAGGGAAACATGAACAGAACAAAGCAATAATTCTCTTTCTTTCTTAAAAAGATCTATTTATTATGTAAACAATGTTCTGTCTGCATGTATCCCTGCAGGTCAGAAGAGGGCACCAGATCTCATAACGGATGGTTGTGATCCACCATGTGGTTGCTGGGAATTGAACTCAGGACCTCTGGAACAGCAGCCAGTGCTCTTAACCTCTGAGCCATCTCTCCAGCCCTAAAGCAATACTTTTCATCCTATACACAGGTAAAGGTTTTCAAACCAAAAGAAAAAGGTAGATCTATTTTATTTTCTGTGTGTAAGAGTTTTGGCTGCATGTATATATGTGCACCACACGTATGATGACTATCCTTAGAAGTTAAACATGGTGTTGGATCCTTTTGAAGTGGAATTATGGTTAGCAGCTATCTGATGCCCAGGTTCCAGGAACCAAGCCTGTGTCCTGTTGCACGAGCCACAAGTGGTCTTAACTGCTGAGCCAACTAACTCTCTCCAACCACCCCTATTCCCCAAGTAAACACATTTTGGAGAATACTCTTGAAGATGTTCAGCTAAGGGCTGGGGGTCTAGCCCAGTGGTGGCATGCTTGACTGGCATGCATGAAGCCCTGGGTTTGATCCTCACCACACATAAGCCAGGCAGGTCGTACATTCTTGCATTTTCATCCCCGAGGAGGCAGGGGCAGGGAGACAAAGTTCAAGATCATCCTAAGCCACACAGTAAGTTTGAGGCCAACCTGGGGATGCATGTGTCTGCTTTTCTCTGAGTTTTCATCAGTAGCAACAATACTGCTATGAGGCCACAGATATGACATCAGCAGAGCCAGGAAACATGAAGGAAAACATGGGGGATATTTTATAGGAAGCACAAATGGTACAACTGCATCTGACATCATAAAATAATTTAAGTTGAGGAGGTTACTTCTCATAGCCTGTGTTGCTAAATGCCATTAACAAGTCTATTAAGAGACCTCATTTAATACCCTGGGTATACTCCATGCCAAATGGCAGAGAAAGAACATCTGGACTGGTGGACTGAAGGACACTTGTTCATAACACATCCTTGTGAGCCAAAGAGCTGTCAATGTATTCCAATATTCAAGAAACATCTGGAAACTCGCTGACATCTCTAATTTCAGGATAAGTCCCAGAGAGCCCCCTCCATGAAATCAAAGATTGCAATGTTATTAATAGCCAGGCCTGTGCAAACCAGCACTGAGCTCTGACAGCTAAAGATGGATACCATTGGTGGTCACAAAGCTGTAGCTTAGAAATGCTCATGGATGTGGCACTCCCTTGGGAATGGGTAGCAAATGACCAGATTCAGTCAGAAGACTAAGCTTCCAAGCGGTTGCATTGCAAATGGCTCTGTTCCTTCACACCACGTCTCTTCATGTTCCCTTGGTGTGACATGTGACAAAGCTTGCCTACAGCAAAGGTAATGGAGTCTTTGTAAGAACAAGAGTAGGTGGGCTGGAGAGATGGCTCAGAGGTTAAGAGTGCTGGCTGCTCTTCCAGACAGAGGTCCTGAGTTCAATTCCCAGCAACCACATGGTGGCTCACAACCTTATCTGTAATGAGATCTGGTGCCCTCTTCTGGCGTGCATCCATACATGAAAGCAGAATGTTGTATACATAATAGATAAATAAAAAAGAACAGAGTAGGCCTTTCAGTGTAGCCGTGATGTTACAGTTACGACTTCCATGGTTCAGGAAGCTTGGCAGGAGCCTCCCACCGAAGACCCTCTGCAATGGAATCGGCTCTATAGCCTTCCAGAATATCCCATCGTGGATTTTATAAGGGCCAACTAGTGATCTGGGCAGTGCTCATTACTGGGTCTGGAAAACCAGCAGAATACTGGCCCTTATCGGGGCTAAAGAACTCGCTATGCAAGCATCAGCATCTATGTAAGAAGTGAGAAGCTCAGTGTGGCAGCAATGCTTGTGATCCCAAGACTGGGAGGCAGAGACAGGAGTCCCTTGGGGACTTGATAGACAGCCCTCCTAGCCAGTCAGTGCGCTCCAGGTTCAATGAGAGAACTTGACTCAAAAAAATAAGGTGGAGTCCTTAATCCCGGCACTCAGAAGGCAAAAGCAGGCAGATCTCTGTAAGTCCCAGGTCAAATTGGTCTATATAGTGAGTTCCAGCCCAGCTAGGGCAACACGGAGAGGCCCTGTCCCCAATCTCAGACCAAAAAAAAAAAAAAAAAAAAAAAAAAAAAGGGGGGATGGGGGGGGTTTGGCAGCAGAGTCTTGGGAAGGTTAGTGGTTCTGTTGATGTAATGACAAGCCAGGGACATATTTCTTAAACACTATAAAATATAAAGGGAAGAGTGTTAAAAGAGGCCTGACACTGACCTCTGACCTTCTGACATGTACATATATGTATACATATACACATACATATGCACAAAGACATAGAGCCAGTACTTGGTGCACTGTGAAATATGCCAAAGTAATGCAAAATGGTATTCAGTGTACACTCTCACTCCTGTCTGTGATGAAGACACAGCAGGAAATCCTAGGTTGTACAAATTGAATGCAAACATGCCATCTAAAGTATAAAGCAAAGTAAGATGGGGCCTGGAGAGATGGCTTCGATGGTGGCAGAGGATTGAGTTTCAGTTCCTAGCATCCACATGGCAGTTTACTACTGTCTTTAACACTAGTTCCAGAAGATCCGCCACCACCTCTCATGCCTATTGTATACAAACATACTCAGGCCCATGCACATGAAATAAAACTAAAGAGATTTTTAAAAACAAAAAGCAAGATGAAAGGGGAGCAATTTCGTCTCCTAGAAGAGCTGGTTTTAAAGCAGGACATGGCGACCTCTGCCTCTAATCCAGCATTCAGGAGAAGGAGCAGAGGCCCAAGGTCATCTGCTACACACTGAGTTTGAGTCTACTGAGGCCCTGTCTCCAAAAACAAACAGAACAGGGCTGGAGAGATGGCTTACCAGTTAAGAGCACTGGCT